CCTTTTGAACAAAATGCTCTCTTCTTCCTATTTTTGGCCCCTACCCCAAAGTTAAGCTGTGGTAAATTACTTTATCTAAGACTATTTGAATGTTTAAGAGCACAGTGTTCCTTCATCTCCACATGCACATCTTCCCAAAGCACAGGTGGCACTTCAAACATCATCTATTAATATTCAACATACAAATTTTGGAATATATGATATTTTTTACTTATGCATGTCAGAGACATGCATTGAATGCTAATATGTGCAAAGCTGCATGTCAGGCATTGTGGGGAATATCATGATTTGTAAATTGATGTTCCAGCTTCTAGAGAATGTCTGTTGATGGAATTTGCTTCTTTGCTGGGATGTCTGAGAGCTGACTTTGCTATTTATTAACCATTCCCATAGTAGCTCCTTGGGTTGGTGTGTCCTGTGACCAAAAACCAAGTTTAAGCATAGAAAGAGTAGAGGATTTACACAAAGGTAGCATGGCCAATGCTAAAAGTCTATGAAATTGCTCAAGAATAATGTATAGTTTATTGTGTGCTGTGCCAGACACATTTTTTTAACACTGAACGCTCAAGGTCACTCCAGGTGAACTGGGCTGACACGAAACAATCACACAGAGACAGAGAAATAGCTTTTTCTTTGGGTCTTGTGATGGCTCCTCTGACCTTAGGGATCCGTGGAAAAGAGAGAGAACAAGGAGCACTTGCTGAACCCTTTCAATGGGGAGAAGCCATTCAAATAAGGCAAAGGGCCAGGTTTCAGGGGCTTGAGTCTAGCTTCCTGATGTCTGCTGTCAGCTGATTGACTGACATCTAGGAAGGCCATGCCCATCTCACGAGCTGTGTGGGGATCAGAGGAACAGCAAGTGAAAAGACCAGAGTGAGGCCTGCCCAGAGGGGCAACATTGATTCAATTCACTTTGTGCACTCAGTGCTCATAGTTCACACACACACAGCCCATGGCTGGCTTGCCTCATCTCCACATTCTCATGGCTCAAGGCTAAGGGCACTCGGTTCCTATGTGGCAGCTCCTGACACTTTAGATGCATTATTTACTTTTAGCTCACAAAAATTATATGAGAGAAGTGCTATTATTATCTTTACGATGGGGGGAAGAAAATGAAGCATAAAGATTTTAGATACCTTACTCATGGTCTTTTGTATAATAAGGCAAGGTCCCTCACCATCCAGTTAGAGACATCATCTGTTCCCTACATCACGTCTAAAGAGTGAACATGTGATGTAAAATATGAATTCAGGAGCCTGCATTACTTAGAAATTTGGGCTGTAAATGATCACATACTTACTGATATCACAGAACTTTAAGATTCATAGGAACTCATGAAATCATCAGATCTTAGCTTAGATATGAATTCTTTTAGGAGGGTTTCCTGCTTCTCCAGAACTCTGTTAAACGTCCCCCTTAGAGAGTGTCTCTGTGGCAACACTCACTACACTTCAATATAATTGTTATGGGCAAGTTTTATCCCTCTTGTTTTTTGGGTAAACCCCTAAGTATAAAATTGGTATTTAATTTCTTGAGGTACCACCACATTATGTCAAAGGCAGAGACTAGTAAATCCACAGCAAACAAAATGGGTGTTCAATAGATTTTTTTTTTTCAAATAGTGAATGGATCAAATCACCTCTACACTCAAGATTTTCCATGTAACTAACACATTATTGTATTGAATCTTGAAGAATCAAATGACAACATTCTTTTCCATTACATTAATATCCCTCTAGCAGAGAAATTGCACTCATTTCAAAGTGAGAGCATTTTAATCAATAGAGAGGACAAGGTTCACCTTTAAATTCAGGTTCCATTGCCCTTCCATGAAGCCACAGGACAAGCATGGGCCTCAGGCCCATTTACCCAGACCTCTGTCACCTGTCTGACGAAGGCAGTAAGGGTTTCTGGTCAACAGCAGGGAAATTTCTTATAAAACCAAAAGGGTTGACTGAACAAGATCAAGCCACAACACAGGGATCTGACCCTTCTCAGCACAAACCCTGCAGACAATCTGAAGCAGCGCTACCAGAAAGTCTTTTGGGGTCCTTCATAGCACTAACCTTTCCATTGTAATTTGACTCGTTTCCCTAAAGATGAAACAAAAGAGATAAATGTGTGAGATGGTCTAGCTACTTTATATATACTTAAATGAGGAGATTACATATATATAACATTATATATATGTAATCTCCTCATTTAACTATCCTAGTCTGACATGATATTTTTACCCCTAGTTGTAAGTACATGTTTATGAGTTTATGTGTTTATGTGTTCACTGCCATATCAGACAGTAGGAAATCCAAAATAAAAACCAAGGTGAATCTGAATCCTGAATATTTGAATGATATTCTCTTCCTGGGCCTTGAACTCTCTGCTCTTTTAAACCAATGAATCCCCAATTTTTGTGTGCTCTTTCTTTAATGAGTGGGTCTGACAACCTAACTTTATAATTGTGTATCTACTTGAGTCTACGATTTCATGACTTTCATCCGTACTCATGAAAATGTCTCATTCACAGATATCACTGCATAAAATGTTTTTCCTGCTTTCTGACAACACTGTGTTAAACTTATCTCAACATATTTAAAGCACATTTAAAGATCTCTCTCTCTCTCTCTCTCTTTTTAGATATATGACTCCTGAGACAATAAAGCATTATTCTGAAAGCAAAAAACTACTTAGCTTCCTTAGAAAAGTACTGCTCAATTGGGTATACAATACTAAGAAAGATAAAGGGATTCCATCAAGGTAAATGCTTTTGAGACTTATAAGAAATGCGCTTTATGTTTTGTTTTTTTTTTTGAAATTCCCTTTTCATTCTCTTTTTAATTATAACCTAAATACTTTGCAAAATATTTTTAAGTAGCTTAAAACTAAATTACTTGTATACTAAACAAAATTACTTTAAAAAGGAAAGACAAATAATGTTCTCTTTTTTTAATTGAGATAAATCTCATATAACATAAAATTAACCACTAGTTATTTTCAAGTGTACAATTCAATATTATTTTGTACAATCACAGTGTTAGACAACCATCAATTCTGTCAAATTCTGTAACAGTTTCAATAACCCAAAAGAAAGCCAATATTCATTTAGCAGTCATTTTGCATTCTTTCTCTTCTTTCTCCAACTCCCAGATAGCACTAAATTATATTCTTTTGCCTGCTCTGAATTTTAATAGAATCATCCATGGGTAGCCTTTTATTTCTAGCTTCTTTCACTTACCATAATGTTTTCATGCACATGAATGTAGTATGTATCATTAGCATAAGGTTCATCCACTTTGTAGTTTATATCAATATTTTACTCCTTTTTGCATCTGAATGATATTCCATTGTGTGGAATATAATTTTTTTTAACCCATTCATCTGATCATGGACATTTGGACTGTTTCCACCTTTTGGCTAGTATAAATAGCACTGTTATAAATATTTGTATACAAGTATTTGTTTGAATGTTTGCTTTCCATTCTTTAGATAATTTTATATTTAACTTCTTGATAATTTTACATTTAGCTTCTTGAGCTACTACCAAATTGTTTCCCACAGCTGCTAAACAATTTTTTTTTCTGAAGGATAAAGGGTTTATTTTTTTTTATTTTTATTTTTTTGACAAATAATTTATTTTTTATTTTATTTTTTAATTTTTAATTTTTTTATTGGTTGTTCACAACATTACAAAGCTCTTGACATATCATATTTCATACATTAGATTGAAGTGGGTTATGAATGCTAAACAATTTTAATATTAGAGAGTATGAGTTCTTCAACTCTATTTTTTCTTTTATAAAACTGCAGTAGTTATTTGAAATCTCTTGAAATGCCATATGAATTTTATGATTATCCTATCTATTTCTGCAGGAAAAAAAATCACTGATATGTTCATAGGGGTTGCATTGAATCTGCAGATGCATTGAATCCGTACGTTGCTGTCTGTAGTATTATAATTTAGCAATATTAAACCTTTCAATCCATGAAAATGGAATGGAATTTCTCTCTTTAAAAAATTTAGACCCTTAATTTCTTTTAGTAGTATATTGTAGTTTTCAGAGTATAAATCTTTGGTTAAATGTAATTTTAAGTATTTATTATTTTTAATGCTGTTTTAACTAGAGTTGCTTCCTTAATTTCATTTTCAGATGGTTTATTCCCAGTGTATATGCCATATAAAAATTAAGATAATTGTATTTCTTTTTTTTTTTAATTTGTATGCCTTATGTTTCTTTTCTTAGAACTGATGGGAAGGGATATTGACCCTGTTTCTCAACAGGAGTTTCAAAAAATTTGTGGCTACTTTAATCTACCACACTCAAATGGCAAATGTTTACATTTGTATTACATACCTTTAAGAGCTTTTAATGCTGATTTACGCTACAACTCTTCTGAGTAATCATTTCTATTGGTTAAATTTGAAAAAAAAAAGAGATTTGAAAAGCTAGTATTGGTAGTCCCTATATTCTTTAGATATTATCGTTCCTAGGTAAGTAGTGGTACAGATTCTGAAGTCAGGTGTCTCAATTTAGAATCCTAGCTGCATGATTTATTAGCCAAAAGAGCTTTTCAGGCCTCAGTCTCCTTGATCTGGGGATGGCTAAGAAATTATGTGTGTCAAGGAGCCATTTAGATGAACAGTTAACTAGAAAGACACTTTTCTAAAGAGAACCCGGTTACGAAAGGGATAAGATCGATTATTATGTGATTATTTCTCCAGATCCCTGAGGGCACATATACATAACTATCAGGTCAAACGTTCACGTGGATCCACTATCCTATTACAGCAGGAGTGGCCAAGTGGCCAAGTGGAACCAATAAACAAAATAGTAAGTAAGGCAATATAGTATTCCAAGAGGAATGAAGAAGTTAACATAACAATAAAGATTTAAAGGAAATATGAATAGCCCTATAGTCTCTATTTTTTTCTCCTTCAAAATTCACTTATCTGACACCATCAAGACAGATTATAATCAACCATAAATTTAAGCAAAAGGTATCACAAGTGCAATTCTGTGCCAATACAGCTTTGCTGCTGGAGGAGATCAAGAACAACATTCTGGAGAGCAGACCAAGAAGGGCAGATGTATTGCTGTCATGACATTAACAAGGCTTACTTACCTTGGCTCCTTGCACATGCAAGCATTGCTTAAAGCTTTGGAGGACCCTGGCAATGTTTTTGTATTCAAAAATGTCATTTTCTTTTTTTCAAATAGAACACAAAATTATAAAGAGCTTCTGCCTCATAACACAAATGTACCCCTGAGAATGGGAAAATAATCCAGCATTATTTGATTTATTAATCAATCATATCATTTAATTTAAAACAATAATATATTATTATACTACTTGAAAATATTTTTAAGTATTATCATTATTATTATTATTATTGTATATAAAGAGTAAATTTTCTCGTCCACAGTTATACTCTTTAGTATTATCCTTGGTATGAAACTATTTTTTAAAGCACATCACCATTTCAAAATTTTTTGATAAGATTTGGGTCCATACTGTTCTAATACCACACATCTCAGACTTTCTTCCCAATTTCATGCCTGGACAAGGTAAGATGTTCATATAAATTTTTTTTAAAAAGCAGATTACAGAAAGACATATACATGCTATAATTCCTTTATGTTCATAATGTAGGTAAGAGGAATTCTTATTGTTTTATTTTTAAAAATATTTTCAGTTTGAATTACCCATGGCTTATTCCAAAAGCATTTCTATTAAATGTTAAATAAAAGTTAATGAAAGGTGAGAAAAGAAGGAAAGGGAAAGGGAAAACTAAACTCAAGAGATTAAGCAGAAGAGGAAATTAAAAGGACAATGTCTGAATCAGGATGACAATATTAAGCCAGTGGTGGCTGCTTTTCAGACTTAAGCATGGTGCTATGGCTACTAAGAGCAGAACTGAGTGTATAATGAACACTATTTAACATAATCCTCTTGTCGGATAAAACTCTCTCTTTATTTTACAGATATTGCTTTCTTCGTCTATGCCATAAAATAGTATTTACTGATGAATTTGAGTATATTGGATACCTTGTGGTACTAATGAATATATTTCCTATTATAATCTCTTGGATATCCCAGTTAAATGACATCTATGAGCATGAAATAAGATTCACTAACTATTATTTCCTTGCATTTTATATTCTAGAGGATCTACTTAAGGTAATATAAAATTTATGTGTGTGAATTTGTTATGTTTAATGAGACTTTTTAAACACTAACTACAGACAATTTTCAAAAAGAATATATGAAATTTTCCTTCTCAAGACAGATTTTATTTTTTAAAGATGGTGTTTAGGGTGACTCAGTAGTAAATGTGCATGCTTATAGCATTGATTCCATATTGCAAAAAATCAATTTTCAACAGTATAAGTCAAAGAGACACAGTTTAAATAGTATTATGAATGTTCTTGAACTCAGCAAGGTATTAAGCTGGTGGATGTTCATTCTATTATTTTTATACTTTATATTTTTATTATATACAGATAAACAATTGAATAGATAATGTGACAGATTTTTTATACTTGAAAAAAGTCATAGCTGGATTTTTAAATGCAAGGACAGCAATATTCTGTCATATGGATCTACAAGTTGTAGTATAAGACATTTTTCGCCAGAAGATTTAAATAAAATAAATGCACATGATGTTTGGACAAAATAAATAAATCTCAACTCTTGGCTATAAAATTTAAATGCTGTTGCAGAGTCATAGTAGTGGAAAAGAGTGGATTCAAATCCAATCACATAGTGCTTGGTAAATTCCAAGCTAGTCAGAAAGAACATAGGGGGTATCCGAATTAAAAGGAAATTAAGCAATCCTGGCTAGGTTTAATAGTGGTAAAGAGTACCCTAACATCATTTAACACACACTGTGGTGAAAAAAACATTAAGCTAGAATGCAGTCAACCTTGCCTCTGATTTTCGTTTTCTGTGATGAGTTGTAAGCTATTATCAAGTTACTGAACTTTTCCCAACCTTAATTTCCTCTACTATAGAAGGGCAGTGTTACTAAATGATATATGAAAATGCCTCTGGATCTAATAATAGATGCCTCTTTTTAAAAATATTTATTTGTTAAATGCTTCTATTAGTCTTTGTACTTTACCAAGTTTTGAGCTGCTGCCCTAGCTATAGTTGGCTTCATACAGTCCAGCTTAGTTAAGTATCAGAACTGGACTGTAAAGACATCATTGTACTTTATGGAGATACTGAGATGAAACTTCCTCTGTGCAATCCTTGTCTCTACCTTCAACTTAACTTCAAATAATTACCTCCAGAATCAAATGATTCTTAACTCAAGAATCATTCTTACTGCTCAATTTGCAACCTGGCACTTGTTTCTCTTTTATTTATTTTTTACCCTTTTTTCTATTGATTTCAGCTCTGCCCCTTTTCATCCTGTCTTTCAAAATCTCCATTATGTTCATAACAACAATTTATCAACTATAAAGGCACCAGTTATTGCTTTCTTCGTCTATTTCAAATCCTTACATTACAAGATTTCAAATCCTTACATTAATTCTGTAAGCATTTTTGGCTGTTTGTTTTACATTAAAGGACCATGACACACAGTGTATTTGCTTGAATTTGTCTTTTCACTGCTGCCCCTTGTTTCCAGGGACATTTTATAAATCTGTTTCTTTCCATCTATGCCTATACTTGGTGACCCATTCTAAGTCAATGAGTGCCCCTTTACAGATTGCATTGCTGAACCTGTTGGTCTTTGTTTTTCGGTGGCATTTTAGACATTCAGACTCTTAGATGCATCAGAGAAAAACCTAACTGGTGAAATTTAAGGTATTGTGGAAAATGATGTAGTAAAATTGAAACCATGACCATGTAATTTCTTCTTAAATCAACAGATGGCAGCAATGAGGAAGGACTATTTTTCGCACACTTGGAATATTTTTGAGTCAGTAATTTCATTGATTGGCATCATAGATATAATACTTACTGAGACAAATTTCATTAATTATTATTTGAATTTCATTGAAGCCAAAGTGATCTTTATGAAAATAGTTCGACTCCTTCGTATATTACGCATTTTGAAGGTAAAGAGCCAGTAAATCATTCAATTTCAGATTTCTCCTGTTTCATGAAATGTGGCTAAAATCAGTTTGTTTATGGCAACCACTTTCTATTGGGTTGTTTAGATCTTAAATTTTAGCTCCCTTTGATGAATCAAATTTTATAACATTTTATGTTATGAATAATTAAATTAGGGCTGGGCTTGTGGCTCAGTGGTAGAGTGCTTGCCTGGCATGTGTGATTCTCAGCACTACATATAAATAAAGATTAATCAATGACTAAATATAAGAAGTAAGAATAATAATTTAATTAAGTTAGAAATTAGTTTATCATGTGAAAGTATAGACATACTCATCACAGCTTTTCCTTTTAACAGAGAGCAGATGAAAAATTCCATACTAATACAAGTTAACCTTGAAATAATTTTTCTTTTTATAGATACAAGAAGATGAAAGATAGAGATTTAAAAAAAAAAACAACATTTACTCAAAATAGTCACAGGAATAAAACAAATAGCGTACATTCACGCAAATTAAGAACAAAAACTACATGTGCCATGTTATGTACATTCATAGCACTGTTATAGAGTGGTATCAAAAATGACCTTTGAGTATCGAAAATGGGCTTCTTTTTTTGGTACTGGGAATTGAACCCGGGGCATTTAATCACTGATCCACATCCACAGCCCTTTTTTATATTTTATTTGATACAGGGTCTCACTAAGTTGCTTAGGGCCTCTCTAAGTTGCTGAGGCTGACTTTGAACTTTTCTTGCCTCAGGCTCCCGAGCTGCTGGGATTCCAGGTGTACACCACCACACCTGGCTCTAAATCATGTTTCTATAACAAGTATGATGTGTGGTTTTCATTTTTTGTATGATTATTTCAATGACATGAAACTCCATGACAAGACATGTAAGGATATATGGACGCAGATATAATTTCTCTGATTCCTTTGCTATTCGTACACAGGGCATGAACCCATTTAAGCACTGTGTGACATGCTAAGCTAAATAGACCAATTTTATCAAGAGTTTAAGATAACATTGTAGAGTGCTTATAACTTTTATTTTGCTACTGAGAGGCATAAATCAAGTAGGTTAAAAGGATGCAGTCAATACTTTAGTATTCTATGGAATAGTAAGTAATGCTAGTGTGCAATCTAACCCAAGGAAGGCAAGTCTAGTCTATTTTAACATCTAGTTAGTTCTTTCTGATAAGAGGGAGGATATACAGTACCTACCAAAAAGTTTGGATAAAGAAACTGATAACCCATCTAAGAAAAATTTTTTTGCTTATGGATTCAGGAAAGACAAATTAGATAATCTCTGCACCAAAGGAGTTTGTCGTAGAAGGAAAATGACAAGTATTTTAGGTTCCGAAGTTATATGGTAGGATAAATGCAAAACAGTAGTATGCAAGTAGTAAAGTAAAAAGCTTCCTTTATTAGGTGATACTTGAGCTGAATCTTTTTGGGATTAGTGGCAGGTGGTTGGGGGGGAGAGTATGGAGATTATGGAGCATAGATAGGAAAACAGAGGGAACAGCTGTCTCTGCTAAAGTTAGGGAGCTGCCCATTTAAAACATAGAAGCTGGAGACTTAAACCCTTGGCAAAGGGGGGAAATTAACTGTGGAATGTAACTGGGGATATGGTAGTGGTAGGTTCTCACCCAAAGAGACCATCTAATCAGAAGTTTTATAGATTTAGCATGTGAGGGTGTCAGTATTTTGTAGATAATCGTTTTACAACTAAACTCAGAAGATAAGTCACATTGTTTCACAAGAACTAAAACCATTTGAAAATAGCATTTAATACTCCATAAGATACATATATAAAGAATAAAGTTATAAGCTACAAATAGGTGCCTAATATCATCCATTATGAGTAGTAGTTTTAATCATGAAGTTATAAAAGACAGCATGAATAAAATAAGAACCTTGGCAGGTTACTCTAGTTACCTTAGAAGGCACATAATTTTTCATTATTAATTTGGGTTAAACTGATCAACATATAAGCAAATAAAATTTGTGCAATTTATACACACACACACACACACACACACACACACACACACAGAAATAGATTTGTGCAATTTACAATAGTTGTCCTGTTTTTCTCAGCTCATAACTCCAAAGTTGCTGCAAATAATAGATAAAAGGATGAGTCATCAGCTGTCCTTTCGGTATGCTATACTAAAAGGATACGTCCAAGGTGAAGCAGATGTCATGAATATAATTGATCGGATTGCAAGTTCTGAACAAATTAAACAGGTGAGAAAAATTTTAAATACTAGGAAAAGACTTCACTCCTTCTACCCGGGTTGACCTCATCCATTATGTTCTGAATCAGTACATTTAGCTGTGGTCTTTGACTCCTGGTGTGTTAATTAATCTCTGCAAAAGCTTAAACTAGTCTACATTTAAATTTCTTGCTAATATGAAACACATTTCAGTAAGTTACAAGACTCTTGTAAATCAGTTTTTGGTCCTCGTGAAACTCATATGTAGTGGTCCGCTTTCTACCAATGCAAGCTCCAGGATTTATTAGGCTTATTGTTGTATTAGATAGGAAATATTGGAAAGTGAGAAGGGACGGCAGTGTAGAGCAGAGGTTCCTCATAATGCCTAAAGGCTCCTACAATCTCCTTGTTTTTTCCATAGTAAACAGTAAAGGAAATAAAAGTGAGTGATCTCACAAATAGAAGGAAGTAAAGAAAACAATAGTTTTCTACATGGAAACTTTTTGGAATTCTCTCATTAAGCAGATGAGACTTATGAGAACAAGAGGGGTTAAATGGTCGACTCAAAGTCCCATAGATAGTAAGAGGCAGAGACAGTGCTAGGGCCTAAATTCTAGGTTTCAACTAATACTGTCATGTGCCCACAAGTTTATTGTCCAGGTAGAATTCAATATTTGCCTCCAGGAGTGATTTAGAACATTTGACTATTATATTTTATGTGCGCAAAGCTTTGTAGTTACAAAAAAAAACCCCACAAAAACTGTATACTCAATGTGTGGTAGAACACAAAAAGTAGTTTTTCCTCTCTTCACCACACAACTTTAAAACTGATTTCCTGAGTTTAGTTGTCTTTTTTAATCTCTGATATTTAGTCCTGGAATTGGAGGATGCACAGGAGAAAAAGCAAAAGGAGTTAGATCACTAAATTACTGTCCAATTTTTGTCTTCATTTCAACTTTCAAACACCCTTTGCCAAACCTTTTATTAACCTTGAGGTTGAAAGCCATTCCTGGTGTCCCAAATTTATAGGGTCTCATAAAGATGAATGGTCAAGTAACCCCCATGCCTTTCCGAATCAATAATATCCTAAAGTAAGTTACCTTGAGGAAAAATATATGAGGTGCCTTTAGGCTTCTCCAAACCAGCCTAGGAATGCCATTTCTTGTTTTCTGCAGTGCTCTTGCTGAAGCAAAGAAGCCTTCAGGGCTGGAGGTGTAGCCTAGTAGCTCAGTGGTAGAGTGTGTGAGGTTTGATGATTCTTAGCATCGACAAAAGAATAAAAAAAAAAGAAAAGAAAAGAAAGGAAATGGAAACTTTTCATTGCACAAAATTCAATTCTAATTCCCCCAAAGGTCTCCATCATACTTTTCTACAAAGTTTGATTTGGTTAACTATCCAAAAGTTGTAAATGTAAAGACATTTTATGAAGTTTCATTTTTCCAATAGAGATGATAATATTTCTTTTGTTCTGTAGATGTTATTAATTCAGGTAACAAGTAATATGGAACAAGCTATGAAAGAGCTGGGTAAGTACCTTTCTTCCTACATATTTAGCATGATCATCTTTTATCCTCATGATTTCAGAAAAAAACAAGGATTTCTTTTATAACTAAGCTAATGTTTAAGGAAACTTATTTCCAATAATAATAATAAAGTGGATAACTTCAACAGTCATCATAATTGTATTTTCTAGTATAAGTGGGTATAGTGTAATATTACCTCCACACACTTATTCTCACTGCCAGATACAATGAAGATCTTTTAATTTCTGTTTAAATAGTCCAAACCTGCATGCCATAACTAAGCATGCCATTTTATATCCTTATTAGTTCCGTTTTCTTCCAAACTTGTGTCTTCCTGAAAAATGGGGAAAGAAATTCCTTTTTCTCTTCACTGTCCACAAAGCTGCCATTCAAAGGTTTAGGGTTACGCTGAATTGAATACAGAAGTGTGCTGCACAAGTCTTAGGAAAAAGAGGTCCAGTACCAGGGAGTAGGCAGCAAAAGAACACAGAAAAGCCTGATAATGAGGCTAGATTAGCAAGATTGTGTATGGCAGACAGTTACCAGGACAGATAAGAGGTCATGACCAAAGAAAAGTCCAAATGTAAAATCTGCGTGGATAAAATTTTCCAAGGAGCCAAGAATCCAGAAGAGACGAGCAGAAAAGCACAAATGGATGAGTCATCTAGACACATAGGCCAGGTGAGAGGACCATAACCTGGATGAATGAAAGGGTTTAAATCAGAAGGCATATCTGAGCACACAGTCCATAGGAAAAAAATCCTGGTCCAAACAGAATAGAAAAGTAGATCATGAACACCCAAGATTTAGAGCCCCAAGCAGCCTCTCAGTGTCCAGGGCCAATGGGTCGATATAACTCTTAGTTTTAGGGCGAGGGCTGTCTATCCTTTCCCATGGGCTCAGGCACAGGTGTGAGCGCTGTCAAGAAAATGGCAGAACTCTAATATTACTCGTAAGAGACCATTGACAACAGTGAGTGTGTCAGGGAGAGGTTCATTTCCCCGTGTTGAAGGCTTTAGTCCATTAGCTATTGTCCACATGAAGCATTTACAAGCATATTCTCATTGCATCTGAAAATCATTTGTTACTTTTCAGGTTACTTGGAGTATGATCACCCAGAAATCGCTGTCACTATGAAAACAAAGGACGAGATTAACGTCATGCTCAATATGGCGAGAGAAATTGTCAAGGCGTTCAGGTTAGAAGGAATTCTTCATAAAATTGAAGGTGCTGAAATTTTTAAGGTAAAGTGAAATATTTTGGGAGCAAATATATTTACTTCATATGTAGTCATTCACAGAATTGGAGCCTACTTTTGACTCTTTCAATAAATATCATCCTTGAGATATAAAAATCTCACTTAAAATAATTATTTAAGGGCAAGCACCCACCATAGAAAGGTTTCTTCCTGTAGCCTCAGTGGTCAACTTCTTTTTCCATTTTAGCTCCCAGTGAAAGATCATATCTTTCTCTCAAACCAATAGTCTAATTAATCTAATCTTCATCCTTCACTACCATGGATATCAATGTGTTCTTGATAATTATCTATGATACTGAAATAACATTTCCCACACAAGCCATAATCTATGAGAATGCTCAGGTGTAGGATTAGGACTAACTACATTATCTTTCTCAAAGTTACATAAGTGGTACAGTGACATGACATATTAAAAGATAGAAAGTTTCCCAACTCATTCTATAAACTGTTGTTATTTGTTCTTCATTTAATTAAAAATCCTAAGGATTTAGTTTAAAAGCTGTAAAATTATTAAGAGAATTCAATAGAGTACCCAGAAACAAAATAGTATACAAAATGTATCCCCAGTAAGAGACAATGTAGAAAAATATTCTTTCTAATTATTCCTGGTTATCTATAGGATAGACTCAAAATCCCTTTGAACGACACGTGAAGTCTTCCCACCGTCAGCTTCCTGCCAACTTCCCAGCTCTGTTTCCTGTCTATTAACAATTGCAATTAATAGTACAGACCCAACATGAATTATGTAACACCCATGTAGTAAGAGCTAAAAAAAAATCTCACTGAGCACATATTTCTGTCAAGGAGGGATTGATGCACATTTCTAGAAAGGGTAACATAGCAAATATATTATTCAAGCACTATGGTTCCTGCCACAACTATTCAATGATGTAATTGTTGCACCAGAGCAACTATAAAAAACATGTAAATGAATGATTTGGCAGTATCCTATCCCCAAAATACTCCTTACAAAAGCAAGCATCAAGCAAAGTTGGCTTATAGTAGTTTATAATAGTTTATAGTAGTTTATAATAGTAGCTTATAATAGTTTTTCAACCCATGCTGTAAAGACTCAAAAATTTAAGATGTGAATCATCCATAAAATAATAAGTTAATCTAATAAACAATAATAAAAAAATAAAACTTCAAGGGAGCCTAACCAGTAGATTACTAATACAATTTATTGCTCAAAAATTATTTTTTTTCAAAAACTGATTGTTGGACTGGGGTGCAGCTTGGCAGTGGAGTGATTACCTAGGTTTGATTCCCAACACACACGCAAAAGTGAGAGGAGAGCTCTCGAGATTCTGTTTCCCCACCTAGACAGGAATTGCACTGGAAGAATCTCTCTGAAGTAACCATGTTGGAATTCTGGAACCTACTGAAGGGTTGACATATTCCAGGGGAAGGTTTGTGGTTAATATCTGTCAAGTTTAGTCCTTAGCACAATATCAGTTACCCGTCTCTTACCTTTCAACGCCATAACAGTTAACTGTGCACATGTCTCAGAAGCACATCATATAAAACTTGCAGAAAACAGAACACACAAAAAGGACCTTATCTTCCAAGTATCAGAAATTTGACACCTGACAAAAGCAAGGAAGAAGGTTTATTTTGGCTGATGGTTTCGGAGTTTTTAGTCCATGGTCAGCCACTCCATTGCTTTGTGTGGACATTTATGATTTATGCAGTTTTTTGACATCTTCTATACTTCAGTAAGACGATTTGTTTTAAAAAGCTAAGCTACTACTTTAGAATGATGATCATACGATGATCAAAGAAACGCAAAGATGTAATAAGAGAGAAGAGGTCAGATGTTTCTATGCAAGAACAAAAATCTCAGAAGATCAAGATTAGAAAATAATAGAAAATGACTTTTTTTTTTTAACATTCCGGGAACACCAGTTTGTTTCATCTTCTTTTTTAAATTGTATGGTTTTAGGTAATCATGGCCAAAAAAAGAGAGGTGCTTGATTTTCAATCTGTTATCAAGCCACTAACTGTTGACGAAACTATGTATCACATCCCGTGGCTTGAGAAAGACAAAGACCGTATAGACTTTATTCAGGTAAGATTTTTATTTGCTAGTAATATCATCTTTCATGTACCAACAGCTAATCTTTTCAAAAGTAAGTATTTAGCCATGATACACTCTAAGTTAAAAACTCTCTAATTGTTCCTGATTATCTGTAGGATAAAATCAAAATCCCTTTGAAATGACACGTACAGTCCTTCTACCACGGGCTCCCTGCCTACTTCCCATTTGTCATCAGTCCCTAATATTCTACTCATACCCATCTACTCATGGTGCCCCACACACTTGACACTGTTTTCTAATTCCATTTATCTGTGGGTGCTATTTACTTTCCTTGAAATGCCCTTCAGTTCCACTTTTTTTTTTTCAAAATTTACATGCTAATTATGTCTCCAGAAACATTCTACCAGAGGTGCTCAGAGAAGTAGGCCTTGGGCTCGATTCCTTACCATCCTGTAGTCCATCTTGGATTTGGGAGGACCAAAGGTGCTACCATTGTTTCCAGTATATGCTTTCATTATAGCGTTAAGTTCATTACATGACAATTATTTTTACATCTCTGTCACCTACTGTGTTTTTTTAGCTCACTCATCTTTTGAATATCCAGTTTCTTTCACTTGCATGCTGCATAGTGGTTACTCAATGAAAGTTTTTGGAATTAAGAAATAAATGGGTCTAACTGGCTTCAATAATATTTGTTTTCTATGTCAATCTAGTGCCAAAAGACCAATTATATCTTTTCACCTACTTAAAACATTTAGAGTGAAGGAATTTTTTATTCCATGAGCATAAGTAATAGAATATGTGCCACAAACCTTCACTGTTTCCATTATCTTTCACTCACATGAAGCATTTTCATTCTTCCATTATATCCTCATTTTTAGATTATTTCTTTCCTCACCCATATATAAACACTCCAGCTGAAATTTAAAACAGTCATGAATATCTACGTGCCTCTTTATTATTCATAATCTCTATTTCCTCTTACAAATTTATTACCAATACATTAGATTTTGCTGAACATTTACAATATTTACTTTAAAAATGTAACACTTTTATTAAAATGTGAATTTCAACATTCTCAACCACTTCCAAAATATCATTGGTAAGTTACATATTTCATGATTTTTTTTTTTTTAGGAAAGAGCTAAAATTGTAACATTTGATTGTGGAAATGATATATTTGAAGAAGGTGATGAGCCAAAAGGAATCTATATTATTATTTCAGGGATGGTAAAGGTAAATCAGGGATATTTATTTATAAATGTACTTGTGAGCATTAGTTTAAGAAAAACTTTTATTATAAAATTGACAATTAATATCTTTCCATGTTAAGAAGTACATAGTTTGCATAGTTCATTTTTAGGGCAGCAGATACCACTCAAACTATAATATTGTTGATGAGAGAGAATGGTTAATAATACATATAACCTTTTAAGTCATATTTTCTCCTAGATATTAAGAATCCATCAAAAGGATCATGTTTTAAGACAGAAAATTATAAATTATTGTTCATTTTATGTTTATATAAAGTAGATATAGTTGGCTGAGCAGAAGAAAAGATCAGTATTTATGAATGCTTTGTGTCTAGGTCATTGCTAATAATAGGTTTACTTAAGGAGAAATAAGTATTTTCATTTTTAAAATAACATTTATGCATTATAATTGTTAAAACCAAAGTGGGAAGAAACCATAAGGTTGACAGTTTGGACAACATAAATTACCTGGCAAACGCATTTTTCTGTTTCTTTGTTCTTGAACAGCTTAAAAGAGTAAATCTGGGTACAGAGAATGAGACAATACTCCTGGAGACAGAGGAGAAAGCTTACCCAGTCATTTACACAGACTATGTGCTCAGCGGTGAAATAATAGGAGAGTTAAACTGCTTAACTAATGAGCCAATGAAATATTCTGCTACCTGCAAAACTGTAGTGGAGGTCAGAAAACATCACCTATGTCTTATTGTGGTACCTCATCCAATGTCTAATATAAAATTTAAGGTCTTTTCAATGTGTAATATGTCTACTGTTTAGTTTCAATTTATTATTATTTTTAAATAAGAAAAGTAAAGGAGCAAACTTTATTGCAAAGTTGTACTCACCTAGCATAATGTCCAGATAAATGGCTTCTGAAAGTGAACCTGCCATATGGTTAAATTCCTCTTTTGATATGGCAGTGATAGAATTAATTAATGGAAAACTTCCTTAGAGATGATTGAAGACAACATCGTCAATGTGCAGGGTTCCCATTGGCATGATTTGAACTCAAAAAGAACGGAGACTTCCATTCTTGAAGTTATAAGAAAAGAGAAAATCTATAGCTCTACAAACTATTATATCAACCCAGTTTATGGAAAATACAAGCTAAAAACAAGCGACACTAGGAAGGAATACTTAGCTAAATCTAGAATATGGAAGATTCTGCAGGACAAATGACCTGACTTCATCAACAAATAGTGTGCAGAGAGAGAGGAAAAGAAGGCAAGAGAAAATTATTAAAAACAAATTTAGGAAATACAGTGACCAAATATAATTGTCCCAATTTGAACAAACCAATTCTTAGAAGTTTGAGATAATTTAGGAAATTTTAATATCAGCAGAATATCAGATGATACTGATATCTTTAATTTTGTTTAAGTACGATAATTGACATGTTATATTTTTGAAACATTTCTGTCATTGGGTGATGGAAATTTAAAATTTTATAAGTGAAATTATGTGATACTTAGGATTTGAATTTAAATACCAGCTTTCTACTTCAGGCTTTGATGAAGTTACTAGCACACTAACCATATAGGACTACCAAACTTGACAAAATATATGAGGTAAATGTTTTCAGCCATTGAAACAGGCAGTTTATGCCTGAAAACCTTAAGAGAAATTCACAATATAAGCCCTACATGCACCCTGATCCCACCCATGATGCAGCAGGTAAGAACCTCATGGAAAGAGAAATGGGGGAGGTTAAGATGGCGGAAATCTGCCAAGCAGGGAGCCAAAAAAGGAACTGCAGAGACTCAGGGAGTCTGCGGGATGGTTCTCCACAAGCCCTCTGTTGAGGATTGCACATGCACAGGATGAGTAAAAGTAGACTTAGTTATTCTTTTTTGACTTTGCCACTGTGCCCAGCTTTACTAGGTTGTTGAAAATGGAATAGAGACTTTTGAGGTCTAGAAGCATCAAGGATTGGGGACTTTTAAGGTTCTATCTTGCCAGAGAAAGAGATACTTGTTAAAACCAAAAGTAGACAGTTAAGGAATAAGAAAGAATAGACTTTAGGAGTGATGATCATGATCTTGATTGGGGCTTGTTATAGATCCACCCTAACAGCTTAAGAGCAAGCCCTAGCAGAATCATGAGGGAAAAGAGTTTCCAAGTTGCATTGGAAAATATGGTTTTTTGCTGATTGGCCCAAGCAAATCATAAAACCCAGCTGACACAAGCTCACAGTAATCAGATTGTATATGAATTGCCAACTCCAGCAAGAATCAACTATTTTCAAAGACAGAATTCTACAACGTATCATCAAGAGTCATACAAAGAAATATGAAGTAGTAACCTAGAGTAAAAAATAACTACAAATCGGTCATTACCCAAAAGTATATATTATTATTATTATTATTATTATTAATTTAAAATAAATTAATAAAAAAATAAGTATGCGAGGTAATAGATATCATTTTACAATGTGTACATATATCAAAACTTCACACAATATCACATACATACAATTTAATAGAAGAATACTAAAGAACTTCTAATTGGACCATGTGGCCTTTTGAAATTTAGTGCAGTGGTGCCTGGCATGGTGGTTCACACCTATAATCTCAGCTCAGTGGAGCTAAGTCAGAAAGACTTCAAGTTCAAAGCCAACCTCAGCAACTTTGTGAGGTCCTGAGCAATGTAGAGAGACCCAATTTTTCAAAATAAAAAATGAAACAGGCTGGGGATGTGGCTCAATGGTCAAGGGTCCCTGGGTTCAATCCCTGTTACCAAAAATAAATAAATAAAATAAAATAAAATTTAGTACAATGGGGCTAGGGATGTGGCTCAGTGGTAGAGCATTTGCTTAGCATGTGCAAGTTCCTGGGTTCAATTCACCAACACCACATCACAAAAATAAAAATAAAATTTAGTACAAGACAAGATCACAAAAATTGTGACCAATATATACATTTTATTATGTTTCCAAGCCACAGTAAGAAACTTACTAAATTGAAAATCTTAGTTTTAATGTTATTATAGGGAAAACCTTATTTCTTCAACCATAGGTGCACAGAATGAAATATTAAATTTATATCTTCCTTTTCCCAGACATATTTTATCCCAAAATCTCACTTGTATGAAGCCTTTAGACAAAAGTATCCTGGCATGGAAGATAAAATGTGGCTAAAAATTGGACGTGGAATTACTGCCCAAAAAATCAGGGAACATTTATCTTATGAGGTAAGAGGTGTTTGTACAAACTTCTCATTAAGATATTGCCAAAAATTGACCACAAATTTATATTAAACTTCATAAATAATCAATAGGCTATGAAATTGTGTTTTTCTTATAGGACTGGAACTATAAGATGCAATTAGAGCTCTATAACATGCACATAAGAGATATACCGAAAAATACCAAAATTGGTATCTATGATGAAAGTGTAACCTATGTTATCCTCATACATGGAGCTGTAGAAGATTGTCTGTCACGAAAACTTTATAAGGCACCTTTCTTAATTCCTATAACATGCCATCAGGTAAAGAAATAATGATTCGTGTCTTCAGGCCAATATGTTTTATGTCCAACAATGTATTAGTATCAGAAAAGTCGTTATCGTAATTCAACTTTCTACCTTCCCATTATCCTCTTTCCCCCCACTCCATAAACACCCACAACAGCCACATACAGTCTTCATCGATTGCTTTGGTAAAGCATCAATTTGCAGTCAGATAGCAGCTCCATTCCTTGGGGCTTGAGGGAAGGCAGAAAATCATGAGGAAGGATGTGACGGGGAAAGCTGCTCAGGACATCATTGCACCAGGACGTGGGGAGAGAAACTGTGCTCACTACAGACAAAATGTAAACCCCAAAGTTATGCTTCCTATAACGCGCCACCTCCAGCAGCACCCCACCTGCCTACAGGTACCACCCAGTTATTCCCTCACTGATTTAAGGGACGGCACTCATAAACTCAATCATTTCACCTCAACTTTCCTGCATTGTCTCACACAAGAAAGTCCCAGAGCCCCCTTACACTTGTCTAACTCTGTCTATCCCCTACTCATACAGCCCCGCTTATTGTGGATTTGAGTGTCAGTGTGATTCAATGCATTAAAAACCAGCACATGTTGGAATGATTTCTTGAAATATTTTTAAAACTCTTTCTGCCATATAGAAAAGCTCTTTGATTAATTTTTTAAATGATAATTAAACTTCATAATTTTCTCAGCTGGAAGAAAAATAAAATATTTTTAAGAATCAATAAGAGTGGGCTGTAGCTCAGTGGTAGAGTGCTTGTCTCACACATATGAGGCACTGGGTTCAATCCTCAGCACCACAGAAAATTAAATAAATAAAATAAAGATATTGTATTTACCTACAACCAAAAATATTTTTAAAAATCAATGACAGTACATGGAATATTGACCTTCCCACGATCAGCCTAAGAATTTTATGATTTCTGTCTTACTTCTGTTGATTTACTGATAATTTCAATCATCTTTTAAATATCTAGAGAGGACCTGAAATAGTAGCTAACTAGAGAAACATTTAATTGCATTTTATGTATTCAGAAATTAACTTGCATTCTACGAACTTACAGATACAAGGCATAGAAGATTTCACAAAAATAATGATTATTCAAACTTCAATTGATCTGGAAAAACACACGTGGAACACAAGAAAGTATATGTCTACACCTAAAACTTCCCTGAAACTAGGATCAATAAGTGAGTTATTTCTTTTGGGAAATTTGAGAACTTGCTATTCTTTTATAAAATAGTCGTATATATATTTGGAACAGGTATATTCATGTTGCCTAGAGTGTTTTTCAACCGCCATATTCAATACTCATACATGAACTCAGAATATCAAGTTACGCTCAGAAATTATTGTATTTTATCTATAAGAATAAACATGCATAATTATATTAATAATATGAAAAAATTAATGAGGGAACTTCAGGCTCTTCCCCTGAATTAAAATATTTTATATGGCAATAATAATAAAAATAAAAAGAACTGACATATAAATCACTAGAACTAAATGGGTAATCTTGATATAAATTCTGTTCTTCATACAAATTTCACATGATAAAAATTATATCAAAACATAAATGATTATTTAATAACTCCTACAAATCTGTTGATGAAAATTTGAAAAATAATTTTGAGATTTAAAATCATAAAGAATTAAATTTTGAAATAAATAATAACAATAGAAGTTAATAGTTGTCATTTATTTAAAGGAAAAATAATGTTAGAATTTAGAAATATAAAAATTAATTCTAAAATCTTGAGTGTCAATAACCATATTAGTAATGAAGAAATAAACAAAGGACAATTTTATTTATTTATTACAGCAGAATGCATTACAATATTTATTACACATAGAGCACAATTTTTCATATTTCTGGTTGTATACAAAGTATATTCACATCAATTTGTGTCTTCATACCTGTACTTTGGATAATAATGATCCTCACATTCCACCATCATTAATAACCCCATGCCCTCTCCCTTTCCCTCCCACCCCTCTGCCCTATCTAGAGTTCGTCTATTCCTCCCATGCTCCCACTCCCTATCCCACTATGAATCAGCCTCCTTATATTTAAAACAAAAAATAAATAAAACAAAAAAACATTCAGCATTTGGTTTTTTTGGATTGTCTAACTTCACTTAGCATTATCTTCTCTAACTCCATCCATTTACCTATAAATGCCATGATGTTATTTGCTTTTATTGCTGAGTAATATTCCATTGTATATATATGCCACACATTTTTATCCATTCATCTCTTGAAGGGCATCTAGGTTCCACAGTTTAGCTATTGTGAATTGTGCTTTTATAAACATTGATGTGGCTGTGTCCCTATAGTATGCTGTTTTTAAGTCCTTTGGATATAGACCAAGGAGAGGGACAGCTGGGTCAAATGGTGGTTCCATTCCCAATTTTCCAAGAAATCTCCACACTGCTTTCCATATTGGCTGCATCCATTTGCAGTCCCACCAGCAGTGTATGAGTGTACCTTTTTTCCTCACATCCTCGCCATCACTTATTGTTGTTTGTATGCATAATAGCTGCCATTCTGACTGGAGTGAGATGAAATCTTAGAGTTGTTTTGGTTTGCATTTCTCTAATTGCTAGAGATGATGAACATTTTTTCATATATTTGTTGATCGATTGTATACGCTCTTCTGAGAAGTGTCTGTTCAATTCCTTGGCCCATTTATTGATTGGGTTATTTGGGTTTTTTTGGTGCTTAACTTTTTGAGTTCTTTATATACCCTAGAGATTAGTGCTCTATCTGATGTGTGAGGGGTAAAGATTTGCTCCCAAGATGTAGGCTCTCTGTTCACCTCCCAGATTGTTTCTTTTGCTGAGAAGAAACTTTTTAGTTTGAGTCCATCCCATTTATTGATTCTTGATTTTAATTCTTATGCCACAGGAGTCTTATTAAGGAAGCTGGGGCCTAATTCCACATGATGGAGATTAGGTCCTACTTAAAAATATGGAACGCTTCACAGATTTGCGTGTCATCCTTGCACAGGGGCCATGCTAATCTTCTCTGTATTGTTCCAATTTCAGTATGTGTGCTGCCAAAGAGAGCACAACAAAGGACAATTTAATGAAGAAATTGAAAGTGAAATGCAGAAAAATGTTCAAGGTTGTTGATATAATAACATAATAACAAATTAGATATTTGGTTTATTTTATTAGTGAGTTTTTAAAAGAATAATAATACTTATTGATTTAAAATGTTGTGAATTTACTATATGTACTTACTTTGTTGGTACCAGAATACATTAATAAAGTTATAGAGATTGCAAAAGCCATAAAGGTATTTATAAACAATATAATTTCAAGACATTTATCCTAAAGATATAAGCAAATAAGAAATAGAAATGTTCATTGAGCATTATTTATAAAAATAAAAACTTAGAAAAAATCAAAATGTATAATGATAAATGGATGATTAAGTAACTCAACAAGCAGTCAACAAGATTATAAGTAGGCATTAAAAATTAATGTTCCAGCCTTGTGCAGTGGTGCACGCCTGTAATCCCAGCAGCTTGGGAGGGTGAGGCAGGAGGATCACAAGTTCAAAGCCAGCCTCAACAATTTCTCAAGGAGCTAAGTAACTCAGCAAGACCTTGTCTCTAAATAAAATATGAAAAAGGGCTAGGGAGGTGGCTTAGTGGTTAAGCATCCCTCGGTTCAATCCTGGTACCAAAAATAAACAAATAAATAATTAAAAAATAAATTTTCTATTTTGTAATGTAGAGAAGGACCCTAGGATATATGTCAAGTAAAAATGCCAATGATAAAAACACTAGGTTGCTAACTTTAAGTGAATTATAATTTGTTACATTACAGTTGCATGATTTTGAAACTAAGTGGACATAAAGTACTGTATTTATATAGGTTCCCACTGAATTTAAGATTAAGCGTCCACAAGAAACATTAATGGGTCCTTCACCATATGGTCCTTCATCAGATGTCTCTTCTACCTCGCCATAGCAAACTATTAATGGTTCACCTGAAATGGGAGATCTGGGTGTGTCCCACACCTGAGCCTTCACAAAACACTCCTTCTGCCTAGAACCCTCTAAACATCCCCTTACCCTCAGGTCTCCATTCCATACAGCTAACTCCTTCTTATTCCTTTAATCTTAATTTTTTCTTCAGGGAGCCATCAACGATAATTCCACATCTCACTGAATCACTCTCCTGTACACTCCAGTAGCCCAACATGTATGTGCTGTCCCATAGGCCAATGTCAAGTTGGTTTTGGTTTTGTTTGTATATTTGCTGGTCTGCTGTTGTACTATCTAAAAATATATATATATATATATATATATATATATATATATATATATATATATATATATATGATCTTAATATTGTGCTGTCTTAGGTGTCCTTATTACTTAATGTCCCTGGCACTCCAAATACATATTGAAAGTATTTGGAGATATTGGGATAAAAGATGATTTTGTCTCCTTACCTTTCAAACTTTCTGCACATTGTTATATGATCTTTATAATAAAATATATCTAAGCCTTTTTTTAAGGTTACCCTTCACACCAATGTCAGATCACAATGTCAGATCACAGCATGAATGAGTTGAATATGGTCTAACTTAACAGTTCGACTAGTTGAAATTGTGACCCACATTTCAGTAGTTGAGTTCACACCTTCTTTTTTTTAACTAGTTTCAAGTGGATTCCTGGAAGAAGAACTGCAAGAAGAAAGTGATATTAAGGAGGAGGTAAACTTGGAACAGTTCTTTTTTAAATTTTGTTTGAGTAAAAGAAACTCTGCAATTTATAGGAACTACCAGTGTATTTTTCTTTTTCTAAAGAAAATCATTACATAGATTTTAGTATGAAAAGTTTCTATTATCACAAGGTATACGATATAAATTGTTATTTTTTGTAAATACTAAAGAAATAACAAAGGAAAACAAATGTAAAGAGATATCAGAACTTCCTTGACTTACATTAGCATCCCAGTACCACCACAGATGGCTGTATTGTAGTGTATGAGGCCCTTCCCCTCCACCTCATGTTAAAATTGGACTGGGGTGAAGGCTCTCAGCCTGAAGGTACAATGCTCTTGTACTCACAGTGCCTGATAAAAGCAAGAGCTCAAAAACAAATGCCCTATAATCTACTTATCCCACAGTAAACTAAGTTACTCAGAAGTCCCACAAATATTGATCGATGTCATGGTTCTCTATGAATTTGGATACATCACTTGGGGATCTTAAGATCTTCAAAATCATAAACCAACTTTGCAATAGGATTCTAAGTTATGAAACAGTATTGGGACCTTGAATCGAAACTGAGTGGAGAGATACAGTGAAAATACCTCATTACATCTCTACCAGCCTACCTCTGCCTGGAAGAACAAAGGGAAATGACAATTAAAATAAAAAGATGAGGAAGACACTTAAGATAAACTATTTCACTGCCTGCTGGTTAGGGCATCTCTCTATTTATGGGACTACCAAGCTTGCAGGATTCAGTTTATTGTATTTGGGGTGTGTGGGGAGGGGAGGTGGAAAGAGCAAGGGAAGCTGATGTTCTTCCTGGGCCTATTCTCAAAAAGTACTGCTTGTCCATCAATTAAAATACAAAATGATGGCATGATGGTTGAAAGTGGGAGTTCACTAAAGGACTCTAACATCAGCCAATGGAAAATCATCAGACTGTGTTATCTAGTAGATACTTTTGCTCCCTGATGTTAGATCCTGGCTGTGTTTCTGTGCCAGTTCCCTTTCCACTACCCCAAACTCTTTCCCCACCAAGACCACCTTAGGATTGTGGCTTTGCTTTCACTAACTGAAAAGCTCCCTTGAAGGCCTGTCACAACATCCTTGCAAAGTGTCCTGATTCTCAGGACAATGCACACAATGCAGAAATCCCAGCTCTCACTCCTAATAATGTTCATTGAGCATTATTTATAAGAATAAAAACTTAGAAAAAATCAAAATGTATAATGATAAATGGATGATTAAGTAACTCAATAATCAATCAACAAGATTATAAGTAGGCATTTAAAATTAGTTTTCCAGCCTTGTGCAGTGGTGCATGCCTGTAATCCCAGCAGCTTGGGAGGGTGAGGCAGGAGGATCACAAGTTCAAAGCCAGCCTCAACTGGCTTTGAACTAGATTGTACACTAGATTATAGACTAGATTGTATAAATCAGACCCTTATTAACAGCCTCAGAATTTGACTCCTGTTTCCTATCCCAATTTCTAGGCTGAAGAGTCTGAAACATTCCTCGAGGAGAATATTAAAGTCTAAAGCATCTCCTAGAAAAAACCTAAATGAAAACCTGGTAAGCTGCCTCAGTTTCCTCGACATGACCAGGAACATATCCAATGGAGACTGAAACCAGAAGTGCATTTGCCCTTAGTATGATAGTGTGGATTAGAGCACTTCCCACTCGCTAGTGGATTCTCCCAGTGTCTCTAAATTCCAATTTGAAAAGTTATCTTTAAAATAAGATTCCTCTGTCTAGATTTCTTAAAACATAGATTCCTGGTTTCCCCTCTCTATTCTGCTATTTAACCCCATCATGCAACACTGGCTGCTCCCAGTTTGCTAGGCTGTTTTTCAAGTGACCATGTAATGTTGAAAGATATCAAAAGATAATAAGTTATGACTTTGCTTCTAAGGATTTATGTTTTAGTTACATAGACAAACCATACTGGAGGACAATTAAATAGCAATAGAGGATACACTGTGGATAGTGCCAGCTGATGTTGAAGGAATTTGAAATAGAAAGAGCTGGCAATGAAGAATTAACAGACTCTTTGGAGAAAAAAGAGGATGATCAGAATGGAGGACGTGAGAAAACAAGACCATTGGGGAACCATGAGTCTAGGGATCTGACAGCTGGCTGTGCCAGATGTGTCTGTTGTAAATATCTGTGTGTATGTGTGTTTTACATGACTTATGTCACAGGGCATAGCACTGGGTTAAAAAATAAAAACCATCAGATAAATAAGTTTATCTTCATCTAAGTAAATGTAACCTTGCATGCCACATCCTATGACAAAGGAGGCATTTAAAAATAGATTTAAATTTTTTTAAATAGATTTAAACATGAACAATACACTAGGGAAAACTATTTGCAAGAATTATGTGCTCACAATACAAGCAATATCTTTATCTAGCATATAGCATAACAAGGAAAACTATAACTCCAGTAGGCAAGCTCATGAACAGCCTGTTCAGGTACAAGACAATATCCAATGTGGTAAAACAGTAAATTACAAAATACAAACGTAAACAACAATGAAATAGAAACATTTGTCTTTTAAAATATGTACAGTTTTTAATGTCAAAATCTATTTCCTTTAAAATAGATGGAAATTGAATGATACTGGTTTTCTTGTATTTTGCTGATAGATGAGTGAAAGCAATTTATTATAACAACAACCATAAATATGCTCACATATTTTGACTCGGCGGTTCTTGGAAGTAGCCCGGGTATTAAAGTAAGCAAAACGTCCAGGACACTATACTATTTCTAATGGCAATAATAATATAATGATTAAAAGAGTCCAAGTGTCCAATATAGAACATTCATACAAGAAAATATCACACAACCACTGAAAAGACTGGCTGTGTAGTCCAATGCAGACTATGAAGAGGAAGACAGAACATATAACATACAATAAACATCTTTTAACCCCAAAATGACCAGAAAAAAATAAATCTAAATGATTATGTTGTAATTAGGTGAAAGCAGAGGTGGTTTTGTTCACTTCTCTTATTGTGTGTCGTTCTATTGGTGCTATAATGAAAAATGATTATTAAGCATTATTGAAGTATAACTTGAGAGTTAGCTGTTCCTTTCTGTCACTCTTTACATTCATCGATGCTATATAACAGAGTGGGAAAAACCTGACCTGAAGCTCAGCGAGGGCTAAGGAACTAAGTTAGTGTTTGCCCAGAGTGGAACATCTTCCTCCTAATAATCCATACACCACCTGCATCCAGTTCAGCAAGCCCCAGGTGCTGCTCTGACTCTACCTCCAGTTTGTCTTGCTGCCACCAATTTATGATGAGATAATAATCATATTCACTCCTGCAATTTCCTTCTTTACCCTTGACCATAAAGGCCAGGAGATATTCCACGGTGGGAGAGGGAGGGGGTGGAAATGACTCTCTAGCACATCCTGTTTCAGGTTGTTGGTCAATGCTGCGAGATTCCAAAGCTCTCTGCTTTCTTTGTGTATTTTCTTCTCTCCTGGGTTAGAAGCAGTTGACAAGCCTGTTCTGAAGATGGAAGCAAGCATCGCTGTGACTGTGTTGGGAGGCCTGCTGTGGCTGCAGCACACTTCCGTCATCCAGAGGGGCCAGCTTCTCGTTGGATCCTGCTTGGATGCTCTTGGAGCTCTGCAGAAAAGGCATCTGAACGTGGTGACCAGCCAGCTCAAATCATACATATATATTTGCAAAATGTTCTTGATATAAAATATCTATTATTTTAAATATTCAGATATCTCAAAAATATTAGAATAAGTTTTAGTCTTAAGAATCAGAAAAAAAAAGCTTATGTCACCTAAGGTAGTTTGAGCATTGTCTTTAGAGTGATAATGATTCGATTCATTTTATTATGGATAATAAAATGCCACTAAAATGTGGTTTAAATGTTGCTCTTGATCCAAGTATTGATTTTTGTCATTCTTCATATTTCACTCATCTTGGGAGCTCAGAATTTCTCAGTCATAATAGTGAAGAATGGAACCTGATTCAGACTGAACCACATAACCCAACCCTAAATGAAACCTCTAGAAACAATTTTGTCCAGAACAATGAGCACAATATTAGATGCACAAATTTAGAAAATAGTTATCACAGGAGAGTGCATGCTTTGTTAGGTATACTAGCCTATATAATACACTATATAGGTATGAACTCCTGTAATCTTCATAGCAACTAGGTTAAGTAGACAGACACCTTTATTTCCAATTTATGAATGAGTAAACTTGGGTGAGTTTGAGCCATTTGCAAAAAATCCTACAACTTGTAGAAAGCAGATTATAGATTTGAAAATAAGGCATCATGCCATATATTCCTCCATACTAAACACTAAGTAAATACCTACGGAATTAATAAAAATTTAAATATGCCTTCAGGTTCAGACTTTCTGGGAGTTAAGAAATCTCAATGCTGTGCCAAACAATTGATTATGGACACATTCTTAGGAGCAAAGTGCAGAGATTCCAGTCACAAAAATGTCCTTTGTGGTAAAGATAACCTGGTTCTTTACCAAATAAAAATTAAGACAAAGGATTGAGGGGAGTAGGAATCAAACACACACACACACACACACACACACACACACACACACACACACCTTTATTACTGACCTAAGAGAATTTGATTGCTTTCTTTTCTTTTCTCTGGAATTAGAAAGACTCCAAACAGCATAAATTACAAAGTTTTTAGGTGGCCTAGGTTTCCAAATAAAATCTAAGCTATTGGAGAAGCATACACTCCACAGTATTAGGGGCTGTCAATGTCTGCTAGGTTTTTGGACTGGATTGTAAACATCTCCCTACATAAGGCACTGAAACACGAAATAATCCTAGACCATGTGTGCTGGTGTGCCCCCGCCTGGTGTGCAGGAATGGGGGCTCTGTGCCCAGGACTTCACTTTTATCTGAAAGGATGTCATGCACAGATTTTGACCTGAAGAGGGCGCTTAGAGCTTGCTTCCATTTGACTGTCAGAGGTAACCCACTTAATTTGCTTGTTTTTTAATGATATTTTGATAAAAGGCTCTTCTTGGGCCTTTCACTTTGATTTTTAAAAATTTAGCTGAGCTCTTGAACTTTTACAGTGCCTGCCCTCCTGTTTTGCTTTTTTTTTCCTGTAGTTATTTATCTTTTATATTCTATGTTACTTTTTTTTTTTTTAATGAGAAACTTTGTAAATGAAGAAACATTTTTCTCAAGGGTCACTCATTAACAAGGAAGTACTGTGCTACCCTCCTTCCAGTCACATCTATAAGAGAGTTTCAGTGAACTGAACAAATTCCCACTTGGCTTTCAGACAATGGCCTTTCCAATCAAAATAACCCTCTAGGTTACTCATTGTTCTTGACCAGCCATTGGAGCAAAATGCAAAAGCCCAACCAGAATTACTGGGACAAACAGTTATCTCCTTTTTAAAAACATTCTTTAATAAGGACTATTAGCAATGAATAGCTGTGGTTTTCAGACATCAACCAGGACTCCTAATGAGCTCCTCTTCTTCAGAACAAAGTAAGTAAAAGTTAGATTAGGAAGAAGACCTCTCAGTATTATTACACACACACACACACACACACACACACACACACACACACTACATTTTGTCCACACACAAAATGGTCAGCCATGGTTGCTATCCCAGATTTTCTACACATAGATGATTTAGGTAACTTAGAAGATATCCTTTAACATTTATTGCAGTTATCCAGCCTGGGGAAGGAAATGGCTTTAGAAGTGAAGAATGGAAGAAACAGATTAAGGTAGTCCTAGATTTCTTAAACCTATATACAATGAACACCCTAATTTTAAATGTAGACTTTGTTATATATTTTCTTATTTAACTATCTAATTTACTAGGAAGAGGAATTTTGTGATTTTCAGATGTTCACAAAATAAGAAAATTTTCTACCATAACATTTTTCCTAGAGTTAATTTTCTGAGGGATTAATAAAAAAATTAATAAAATGACTATTAGAGATAATTTAAACCAAATTCTCCTGTCTCTCCTTTAAACCTCTCCACAGAGGTAGAAGAGAAAAAAAAACCTTAATTTTTATAGATATTAAATTGGAATAAATGCAATACATATCACAATCCCTAAAAGAGTAATCTTGCCCTTTTATATAGCCAGGCAAACAATCTATTGCATACATTTTCATAACATAAAAAAGGATTAGTTTTTATATAAGAGGACATTTGTTCCATGTGGTTCATCCTCCACTCTTTGGTTAATGTGTTCACTAATTACCTTTAAAAGAAAAATATAGTCCTCATTTATCTTTAATTGCAGGTAGATTTGCAATTTGGAGCTGGGTTTCAACTGAAGTTAAGCTCCTGGCCTCCCAGGGAAACTGGAAGATAGGGTCACTGTCTTCCTCCATAGTTACTTTTCCAAGAGAAACCCCCTAGGTCATTAGAGAAAAATTGCTGGGTTACATATTTTGCCTTAAAAAAAAATAAAAGTACATGCATTTCAAAGACAGAGCAAAAAAAAAGTTTTGTAAAGTAAATACTCTAAGACAAAGGAAAATCTCTTCCCTTATTTTCAATAGTGAAAATTAGACTTATTTTAAATTTGTCTTTATGCATATAAGACTAAAACATTGCAGATAATAATATAGTTTCCTTCATGCATCAAGCCTTCTGGATTGGCATTACCTCCTTTCCTTCACAGGCTGACCTGCCTCTGGAATACTTTGTTCTCCTAGGTAGGAATTGTCTGCCTCTCTATCCATTTACCTGGAAATTCCTCCCAGAGCTAGACTCAGTCTGGAGAGAAGCTGGATAAGAATGCTCTGGATGGATCTGATGTTGCTCAATTAGTTCCCTAGTTTCTCTCAAATTATTTCTTCCAAGCCCCTCCCCTGACCGTTTCTGCCTATACGTATAACTCTGTATTATTCAAGATCAAATAAAAAAGTATTTTGCCCTTTCTTTTATTTCCTCCATAAGGGCAGGCATCTGCTTTGCTCACCATTGAATCCACAGTGCCCAGCACATGGTAAATATTCAATATTTAAATTGTTGAAGGAATGAACTAATGAGTGACCACACTACAAAGAGCTGTCACATACAAGAATAATGCAAAAATACCAAGAACAATACATGTGGGGAAAAAGGTATACTCATGTTATAGTTAAAGCTTCATCCTGGGGTTTCATAAATTGACTTCCGGATCACTCATGTATAATTGAATCAAGCCTTTATTGAAGCACACTGGTTGCGACTGACCAGAACATAAAGCTGTTTCCCTGATCAGCCCTGAACAATTTGCAAGGATGCTCCTTATAAGCTTGAAAATCGCAAAAGGGACGTTTGGAGGTCTAGCCAATGCAAGCAAGCCAAGTTGCAGAAGTGAGAGAGTGCAGTCAGGCAGCAGGACGCTTAGCCAATCACAATTAGCCCAGTCACCCCAGTTACAGAAACATAGCCCCATTACCCTAGTTACAGAAACAATGCTCCATTAGGTAGTTCTGTGTTCTTAAAGGTTTCTATAGCAAAAGGAAAAGAACATCTTACCCTGGTCATGACCCTTCTACTTGGCATGGTTGTTTTATAAAATGGAGTTACTAAACAAAATGGAGTGACTTTGGCTTGACTATCACACTCACACATTGCTGGTGGGACTCTAAATTTGTGCAACCACTATGGAAAGCAGTATGGAGATTCCTCAGAAAACTTTGAATGGAACTACCATTTGACCCAGTTATTCCACTCCACATACCAGTGATGTTATGTGTTATGTCACGTCAATGTTTACAGTAGGTCAATTTACAATAGCTGAACTATGGAACTGAACTAGGTGCCCTTCAACATATGAATGGATAAAGAAAACATGGTATATATACACAATGCAATATTACTCATCTTTAAAGAAAAATGAAATTACAGCATTTGCTCGTAAATGGATGGAACTGGAGACTATCACGCTAAGTGAAATAAGCTAATCATCAAAATCCAAAGGCTGAGTGTTCTCTCTGATGATAACCCACAAGGCAGAAGAGGATAGAAGTTCACTGAATTAGACAAAGGGGAATGAAGAGCAGGGAGCGGGCATGGAATAGGAAAGACAGTAGAATGAATCAGACATAACTTTCCTATGTTCATGTATGAATACATGATCAGTGTAACTCCACAAGAATGGATCCTAATTAGAATAAGTTATACTACATGCATGTATAATATGTCAAAATACACTCTACTGTCATATAGATCTAAAAAAGAACAAATAAAAAATAAAAGAATAATTCAAAATAAATCCATGATTTCTATCCCCAAATTTCTTTCTTTTTAAATCTCTTTTCTTCCTCTTGAGATATATATAAAACTAATAAATCCTTTATAATCTACAGTTCTGTGACAAGGAATGCAAAGAGACATACCACCACCACTACTATCAGGATAAAGAAAAGAGCAGAAATTCCCTCAGTACCTTTGAAAATCACTTTCTCTCCTATCCCTTGCTTGTGGCAGACTTTGGTTTTGTCTTGTCCTAAATGTCACAAAATGTCAGTTTTATGTCTGTTTTTTAAAAATAATGCATTTGAGATTCATCAAGTTGTTGCACCAATTGGTATTCCACTCCATAGTTTGTTCAGCCATTCACCAGTGGAAGATTATTTGGGCTATTTCCAATTTGGGGGGGGGGGCAGATATACAACTTTACATACAGGTTCTTAGAGGATGTAGGTTTCACTTGGGTAACATAAACTTTGTTAAGAATTTACTTTCTTTGCTATTTCGTCTAATTTACTGGTGAGGGAGATTTTGTGAGTCTCAGATAAGCAGGATTGCTGGGTTGCATGGGAAGTCTAACTTTACACATAACTGCCATTTGGTTTACAAAGAGGCTATACCATTTCAGATTGCCAAGAGCAATGTGTAACACTCTCACTTGTACTCCAT